GGGGTCTGTGGGTCAGGGTCCTCTGAGGAGGAAGCAGATGAAGGGAGTTGTGCACGGGAACTTTTATTTAAGGTTTAAGTTTTTTTTATTTCAAAGGTCCTCATGGCTCAGCAGCAGAACCATAAATAAAACTGTTAAGAAAGCTGATGATAAAGTTGAATAAAAATCTAAGTCTTATGAAGGTAAATTAAATCTCTGACAGTGATCATTACACAGTGTGGCTCTATTTCCTCACTTCACCATCTGTGTTGCAGTTTCACGTCTCCAAAATGAGCGTACGCATGGGTCAGAGCTGGCGTGAGGCACCGCACATTTACATGTCAAGTTTGGATTTTATAAATCACAACCTTGGCGTAAAAAGTGGCGTACGCATGTTTCTGGGCTCAAATTGTGCGTACGCCAGTTTTATAAATCCGACCCCTGAGCATCAAAAGTCCACCAGCATGGAGAAGAAGCTGCAGGAATGAAGGTGGAAACATACTCGCTCCGACGCTGACGGGTCGACGCGCGGTCACTTGGTTGTTCGGCAGTCGTTTTCGCACAGACCTTTCATAGTCCCTACGACACCCCCGCGCCGAATTCGGGAAACCCCCCTTCCTGAAACACACGTCACTGCATGGAGTTCCCTCGCTACAGCCGATAATGCAGAAAAAAAGTCACTCACCCGACGGATTTTTATCCACATCTGTCCTGGTTAAAAAGCTCCACGGTTTCAGATTCCTCCGTGCCTGTTTATCTGTTATGTCTGTTTATCTCCATGAGTTTTTCACGGTTTGACAATGTTTATAAAACTCTGCTTCCTGGTCGGCTCTGGGAGCGAGTCGGGTTTTTTTTTCCTTTTTTTTTTTTATTTTAACCGAGTGGTTGAAGTAAATGCAGCGCATAGTGCTGTCAGCACAAACACGCAATGAGTTTTTCTCGGTTTGTCTATCTTTAAAACGGCTCAAAACAGTCTGCTCTAGTCAGAAGCGAGTTTTTGTTTTTTTCTTCTGCTGTGTCTGTCCGAGCGCTTTCATTTAAGACCAATCACACATTACCGTCAACAACGGCGGGGGGTCAAAAAGTTCTGCCGGGGGCTTGTGCCAAAAGGGGCTGTCGACACAACGCTGTGAAGCCCGGCGACGTAATTTTCGTCATTAAACTGCGACAACCCGTGCCGACGTCGGCAGTTCGCAGCGAGTATGTTTCCAGCTTAACTCAGGGCTGCTGTCAGGTTAAACAGCCTGATGGCAGCTCTGTGTCAAGCTGCAGCAGTTCAGAATTAGGGATGCACGATATATCGATATTGATATCGGAATTGGCAAATATTGGTCATTTTTTAGAATATCGGTATCAGTCCGATATGTAAAACTGGGCCGATATTAATGTTCAGTATTGATTTCCCAATTTTTGTCTTTGTGTTTCTGTTTTGGGAGGGGAGACGGTTGGTTGAGCAGCATCTGTTTGATCACGATAGTGATATTGACGCTGCACAGCCAGGAATAACTGAAGTAGAGCCATGTCAGAGGTCTGGTCGTTTATTTATGGGATCAAGAAAAGACCCAAGTGTGTTTGTGTATATATGTATAATATAATTTGTGCGTTTGTGTAATATCGGTAAATATCGGTTATCGGCCATAACACCAATAATTATTTCTGATATCGGCTGAAATTTTCCTATCAGTACATCCCTATTCAGAATTTACAACTCCAGCGTTTGACACTTTGGACACGAAACGCTTCAAAATACACCGTGCTAGACATGCTGCAGCACTTCCCCACGCCCCTTGATGCACTTGATATATA